GACCCTAAATACTGATGGAAATGTTCCACTGCCCAGATAACAGCAAGACATTCCAATTCAGGTATGGAGTAATTCTGTTCTGCCTGATTTAAACTACGACTTGCATAAGCTATAACATATTCTTTATTATTTTTATCTAGTTGAGCTAATACGGCTCCTAATTCCAACGTAGAAGCATCAGTATGCAAATAGAAGAGGCTATCGAAATCAGAATGTTGTAAAACTGGAGCTGTTATCAAGTGAGTCTTTAAAGTTTGAAACGCTTCCTCTTGTGTTTTAGTTCGGTGATAGGGTTCATCCTTTTGCAAAAGTAAATTTAGAGGTTTGGCAATCTTGGCAAATTCCTTTATGAATTTGCGATAATATGACGCAAGACCTAGAAACGACGGTATTTCTTTGACCGTAATGGGTACTGGGAAGTCTCTAATTTTTTTAATTTTGTCATCATCAGGTGAAACTCCATCGTCGCTAATTAAATGCCCTAAAAATTTAATTTTATTATAGCAAAATGAACACTTTTTTGTATTTAACTTCAACTAGCTTCCGTGATCTTACTAAGCATGTAACAAAGGTGTTTTATGTGCTCCTCGAAGATTTTTGAATAAATGGTGATATCGTCAAGGTATACCACCATAAATTTATTAATATAGGGGTCAAAAATATCATTCATTAGACGTTGAAAAGTCGATAGCGTGTTACATAATCCAAATGGTATTACGTTGAATGCGTAAGTCTCAAATTTTGTGATAAAAGCCGTTTTGATTTGATCCTCCTTTCTAACCGCAACTTGCCAATACCCACTAGCTAAATTAAGACTAGTGAACCACTTGGCTCCCTCAAACATAGACAAGATTTCGTTAATATTAGGTAAGGGGTAGATATCTTTTTCGGTGACCGAGTTTAATTTACAGTAATCTATACAAAGTCACTTATTACTGTTCTTCTTAGAGACAAGTACTACAGGTGAGGTCCAGGGACTTTTGATTAGTCTGATTATGCCTGCTTTTCCATGGCAAGAATTTCTTGCTTAAGAAATTCTTGCTTGTCACGAGATACATTATATAAACGCTGTTTAATTGGTGAAGCGTTCTCCATATTAATTTCATGGACTACTAGATCGGTCTGGCCCAGTCCAACTGTTTGACCACTTCTACTAATCCTTTTTGCAAAAGTATGTATATTCTCCTGTAATAGGTTCTCAATTTGTTGTTGTTGATCCGTTAGGAGGTCCTTACTTATATTAAAAAAAATCTCTTTAACTTCTTGCTGTTTTGCTAATGATTCCGTCAAATATACTACTAGGTTCTGATCAGTCCATGGATTATAGTATAACTCATCTTCTTCTGACGAACACTCATCCATATAGAATGCCTCATGTACTTTCTTATTATCATTCTCAAGTTCATCTATCCATTCGTCTTCGTCAGTGAACTCCTCAAATTCTTGCTCTGGAACTTTATTACTTATATGTGTAGTGTTAATAGTGGCTTGTTTGCCTAAATATCTCATATGTAACGTGTCCTTGTCAAAGTCTAGTTTAGCTCTAGACTTATTGAACCAGTCTGTCCCTAAGAGCAAAGTTTCTTCCTGGGATACAATTACTTGTAAATCTACTGGAATCATTATATCTCGTAAGGTTATACAGACGTCACTTACTATTCTCAAAGTTTAGGCCCGACTTCTATTTGCTATTTTTATTATAGTGTTGGAGAGTTTATCGATGACCAAACCAAGCTTCTTCATAAGCCGATCTGTGATAATGCTAATAGCAGCTCCCAAATCCAATATGGCAATGACTAAATTTCCCTTAATGTGTGCATGACAATGCATGGCAACTGTCCTTTGACTGTTATGGACTTGTGAGTAATTAGCCTCAGTAGTTGGAGCCTTCTTTCTTCTTAATGCTTTGGCTAAATTGCGACACTGATTTGGGTATTGTAACAATTGACCATAAGTGACATGTGCCAGTATAGTTAGCAAATCTTCTGATATATCGTAGGGGTCGAGTTTGTCAACAACAGATGGTAATCTTTTCTTGATGATTTTCTTTATAGGTGGTGGAGTTGGGTTAATTTCTATTAGAACTTCGGTAGTAATAACTGGTTTAGGTACGATTTTATGCAAACGGGGCTCCGCTTGTTTACCCTTTTGTTCCTTTCTATTGGTACTGTATGGTTGGTGACGAGTTACATAAATTTCTTCTTCTTGTCCACTATTATATTCAGTATCCATAAAATTAATGTCTCTGCTCTGATTACTATTATTAGGTCATCTGGAAACTCAATGCTGTTAATCTCTAAATGGCAAGGGCTCTGATGTACACTCCATAGCATAATGACCACACTCCCCACATCTAAAACAATTGTAAGTGGGATTTCTTCAGAAATTCAAGCTTCGGTTAGGACGAGATGACCCTGGCTTGGGCATGTTTGCCAATGCTGTAAGTGCTAAAGCAATAGTGATATAATTTAAGGTCATTTGTTCCAGTTGTTTGGTTAACTGGTCTATTTCTTTATCATAGTTTCTAGATTTGTCTACCAGTTCAGAACTATGATTCAAAGCAAAGTCAGTTTCTTGTTCGTAAACACGAGCTAAGTCACGAATACCATTAAGATCGGCAGGTGCATGCATCAAAATAAGGGGAAGCATATCCAGGCGGAGATCTTTTTTGAAGTAATATAATTTTTGCTCATCGCGAAGAGCCATTCCTGTTTTAGCTCATCTTATTAACCTTTTAAATTTACTATCATAGGTATCCACAGATTCACCGGGAAGTTGTTTTAATGCGTAGAGATCTCGCAGCTACTTATTTTTTCAACATTGAGTGCAAAATTGCTCGCTGAAGGCTGTTGTGGTGGCTGTCCAATCATTACCGGCATTATTGGTTGCTGCATTTGCAACAAAGTAAGTTTGCTACTATTCATCTGCATTACCATGCATAAAGGCAGGCAAAATATCTCTCTTCCATCTATTATTCTATCTATTAGTGGTGGTGGCTTTCTCAAAACTTTCTAACCATATCTGCGGATCTTGTGTTCTGTCGCCGTAAAATGGTTCAACCTTTAATAAAACAGGGTTTCTTTGATTATTTTGGAGATAATTCAATACATCTTGAGCATTAGCCATGCTTTGTACTACAGGTGGTGGGGAAGGAGAAATAACCTAGGAAGCTCTAGATCCGAGTCTGAATTCGAATTTTCTGATTCTGACGATGATTCGACAGGTCCGTATAGAATTTCAAAAGGGTCACGATCAAACCGCGCAGTCTTTTGATGTACTCGTCATAAGTAACCAGCTAATGTCTTAAAGCTCGGATCCTGCAGATATCAGCAAGTATAAATTAAGGCTTGAAAATCGTTTTCGTTAGGGTTCCTGAGTTGTTATATGTACTAGAAGAGATAACTTGTGTATTCATTATATTAATAAACTGGATAGGTGACGAAATACCACGTCCAGAAATTGGTAAATGCTAGCATTGATGCTGTTACGATGAGATAACACAACACGCAGGAAAAGTCTACAAAGTTCCTTTAAACTTGTCGAAAAGTTTGGATATCTGTACTATGATGAATTGTATACTGATAATCGTGTTGGACGTTTCTCTGTGCAAACTGATCAAAGGTAAGCATATACAAAAATGTTATTTCAATGGAATGGAGACTGAATCTTACAGTCACCACCAAATTGTCACATTTAAATTACACCTCTTATAGTAATTCAAGGGGTGTAACAGTTATAGTAAGAAGACTATGACCTTTAGGATTTTGGCTAGAATAAAGGTGTTGAGTATACAACTTATTAAAGAGGTTTTATCAAGGCTTGTTCAAAGAGGCAAAGCAACTAATGTATATGAAGATACAATAGTTGTTATATTATTTATACAATATAATATTAGTATTGAAGGTATTTAACAAGTAATTATTGATCATGAAGTTCCTTCACGATAGTCACATGGTCAAGACCGATATACTAATTAATGATATTGATTAATTTAATGTGTATGAAGACACGATTATCTTTATTAAGTTAATAGGCAAAAGAATACAGTAATAATAGTAAAGAGAAGAGGAGGAGTTGAGGTCTATCTTTCTTCAAGGTCGAAGGTGAGGGTTTTTATACATTCTGCTAAATTATGATTCACAACATCTTGATATTTTTGGTAGTCTTTTATTTTTGGCTATTCTGGTGAATGCAGTGTGAAAAGATTTGAATGCATGAGGTAAAGAAATAACACGACATAACATAAGATTCCTTATATAAGATCTGAAAGATTAGCGTTTGATTTTTAAATATCTTTACGTTGGGATTGTAATCAGGTGATTTACAGTTAGACATATCCTTCTGGGTCAAGTGACAAAATCCCATGTAACAACAGAAATCTTTAAATAGGTTTAGTTATGCAGATCTTATAGAGCTATTTTTTTGATATGAAAAAGTTGGGTTGGAATTCTTTTTGCAGAAAATTCAAAGATTATCTCAATTCATTGGACATTTTAACTGCCGTTGAAAGCATCATACATTATTCAAAAAAATCAGTATTTCTATGCGTTGATGAAACTATGAAAGTTTTATCAGGTAATCATGCAAATGTTGAGAATATTAGAACATTACTAAGTGAACTTTATACTCTTTATCAAGAACTATCAGCATCAAATTACAAGTTTCATTTTATTGTATCTACTCTTGATGCAATAAATATATAGACAACTCAAACTGACTCAATGAGACCTATTATTTGGATACCATTACGAAGATTAAATCTTTCAGAATCAATAAAATTATTTGATACATTTATAGAAAATTTAAATGATCATAGGTTATTCATTATCAAAAAATGTATTGCTGATTGTAATGATCATCTGAGAACACTTGAAAAATTTTATCAGCTCTTAAACAATGACAAAACAGCCTTAAATACTGACATTTACAGTTCACTTATTGAACGTTTGGTAAGAAATCACGACTTGTTGTTTGGTAGAATCTCTTTTTCTATAGTCAAAATGGCATTATTAGGAGATTCGATACCGTTAACATGTGAAATTGAAACTACTTTGGAAACATTGACATTGAGGGATCTCATTTCTTCTGGAATATACATCAATTCACTCACTGCTAAAGATGAAGCAATCTATATCATCCCAACCTTATCTCTAGTTGGCCTCCAATATTTTTGCTTATTTAACCAAAGTACAAACGATGATGCAAACACTGTTACTAAAATATTACGAGAACTATTGACAATGGAATATTCCTTTGACGATGAGGTAATGGATGAGAAGCCATTTGAGAGATTTTATGCAAATTGGAAGTTGCTTTACTGTGCACTTTGTAATGAAGAAAAGAAAATAAGCCTTTATAAGATTTATGATTTATCAGATAGACCAGCCAAAAATTGAGTTAAGATGAAAGATAGGCATCATAAAGTTAAAGAGCGTAGAGTTTCCTCCAAATAGTAAAATCTGTGATATAGAAGGAAAATCTATAAAAAACTTTGTAGATTATGTATTGGTTCCTACAGAAGCAAACAACTATTGTTTTGATATGGTGATATTTGAAAAAAAAATTGATAATACTGGCTACATTGCTATTAATATTGAATGTAAATTTTCTTATCCAGGCAGGACAACAAAACTCACAAATAATGATATAAAAGAGAAATACAAGCATACAAAAACTAAATACTTAAATCATGTAAAATATGAATGTCAAAGAACCAGAAATTCTTTCGTAGATTGGGAAAATGGAGATTTTTATGACATTTCTACTGTAGGAAAACTCAAAATGTCTATTGATAATATTTACTTGGTTTTCATAGCCTGGAGAGATATAGAACCTCTAGATAATGAAATCACAAAGAACAAAAACATAATAATTGTTAAAAGGAAATATTTAAAAAAATTTATACACCATCACTAATAGCACGTCCACAATTTTACAATGATATACTAGAATGAATTCAATATGAAGGTTGAAGGATTATCAAATTCAGATAATTTTATAGATGATTTATCATGTTCAGATAATTCTAATAATATTTTTCATCATCTTTCTATTTTGTAAATATATTATAAATTCTGCTACTGTTGGATAGTTTTCTGAAAAGTTTTTCAACATTTTTTTATTAGTTTTTATAGCGATGCATCTTAAGTTATTTGTCATTAAAATTAGTGATTAGAATCGTTTAGTTGAAAATCAACAGTTGCCAACTTTCTAACTAATCTGTTTAGAAAAATTTAAACAACTAATTGATTTAATTATCAACTAGTTCAGTTCCAAAATATTCTATCTAATTGGGCTAATCTGTGTTGATTTCTTTAGTTCGATTGGCTAATTGACAAATTTAGTCATATGATCTAAAAATTAAATTAGTTGCAACTACTTTACAAAAATCTGGCAAAATTGAATTTGCTAAAAATAAGCAATTTAACAATGCTGATAATGTACTATTAAAATACAAAATTTTGCAAATATAAGCAATTTATTACTATATTTTTAATTTTATACAGTATCCAACAAAAGTTTCCTCATATCTATATCTTCTCATAAAAAGATGCTACAATCTTGAAAATTTCAGAAAAGTTAGTATATATACAGATTAGATTGTATATTTCATTTGAAGATTTTTAACCACTAGAAATAAATTTAGATGAGAGCCAAAGTTGGAACGTTTTTCGTTCAAAAAAATAATTGTATTCAAAGAAAATTTAGTATATTGTCAAGGCTTAAAGCTAAAACTTTTAAAAATTAATAGATTAAACTTTAATGATTTCTGTATTAGTGACAAAAAATTTGACTCGATTTGATAAGATAATTATTAAGAAATTAATTTTTAAAGTTTTGAGTTTTATTTTAATTTGTTGAGACCTGATTCTTTTTGTATTGCATAATGTTTTTCATGAATATTACGTGTTCTAACGATACAAATTTAATAATTTGAATGATACCAATATCATCAAATTTGGATCACTAGATATTAAGATAGTTTCAATTGAAAAGTTTTTACTTTGTAATTTTTAAAAATGACACTCAAATTTTAAAAAATTAATTTCTCAACAATTATCTCATCAAATTGAACCAAATTTTTATCACCAATATGGAAATCATTGAATTTTAATATCTTAATTTTTAGAATTTTTAGCTTTAAGTCTAATAATATATTAATTTTTCTTTGAATTCAATTAATTTATTCATTTTTTTTAAAAAAAAATCCTGACTTTAGCTCTCATCTAAAAATTTTTCTAGTAATTAAAAAACCTTTTTAAAAAAACACACTATCTAAGCTACATATGTACTAATGTTTCTGAAAGTTTCAAGGTCATAGCACCTCTCTATGAGAAGATATAGGTGCAGAGAAACTTTTGTTGGGTACTGTAAATATATTTATCAATTATTATGCTAATAAAATGCTAATATTAGCAATATATTATCAATATTTTAGTAACAATAAAGGCCTAAAAATTACCAATATTTAACTAATTTATTAGGTATTTAAAGGTGCTGATAATGAAATAATCTTGTAACAAATTATTAAAATTGCTTACTTAGTATAATAATGCACTATATATTGCTTATTATTTGCAAATAATTGCATATCTCGAAATTGATAGATTTTGTAAAGACCCCTAGTAATATTAAAGCCTTCGTTTCATAGTGTCATATTGTTTCTGACAATTATAAAGATTCCCTTCGTTTCTCTTTATCTCCCCGTACACCGTTGGAGTTAAATTGGCTTTTATCTACACTATCTATATTTTTTCCTTTTACACCAAAACCTTTGAAGAGTCTTATTCATTTTGTGACCATCGACGAAATCAGCTCGAAATTTGATTGGTTGGCATTCACCTTATTACTACGTAAACTCAATGCTAAAATTCTTTTGCATTATAAGCCAAACATAATGGCTATACGGTTAACATTTAATTATTCTCATCTATCTATTTTATTGAATATAGATTGACTTGTCATAATCCATTTGAAGATCTAAATTGAATTCGTTTTCAAGACATGTTCGAACCCAATCATTGCTTAGAGGTTTTTGTTTATTACATATTTAATATAGTCCCTTGATACGGTGATAATGGCTAAATGGTACTTAAATTTCATTTAGAAAATGTAAAAAGGCTAATTTTTTATTTTCTAACTAAACATTATCCTAATGATTGATAAAATAAAATATTGATCACAGTTTCGAGATAAAATATAATTTTGATTATACTAAGAAACAGGAACCGTTGTTCGGTGCCTTAATATTTAGATTTTAATTTTATAGTTTTTCTTTAAAAAATTTATAAAATATATTCGTATAACATTTAAAATAACAAGGCTACCACCAACAACAGTAATAAAGGTAATTTTAATATTTATTGTGACGGCTGATGCTGATTTTTGGGTCTATCTTTAATACAAAATTTTATAATTTTTTGGGGTACATTTTTTTAGCTTTTTTTTAATAGTTGGCCTAGAATTTAAGGTTAGAATTGTTAATCGAAGAGTATATGTGGGTTTAGTAGATGTAATGGATCCAAATTGAGACCCCCAAAAATCAGCATCAGACATTTATTATTTCAATATTCATTTAATAAATTTATATACAGTATTTAAATTTAGTATTTAGTAATTTTTATTATACTGTATAACATCTTTAGTAGTACTTGTCAACCATCATTTCACCAATAATCTACATCTAGCCAGCACTAAACTATAAATCAGGCAAATCCTAACCTAAATCGGTCAACCTTGTCTGCAAAACAGTTAGCGAAATTGTTATCTCTTTAGGTACGTATACATGAATATATATATAACAATCATTGATTATTGCAGCATAAAAATAAATAGAATACTCCGACTTTAATAACTTCCCTTTAATTGATTTAATAATCTAAATATCAAAAGAACAATAAGCAACAAATTTGTTTAATTATAAGTAATCAAATATTACTTACCGTCGGGAACTTCAACGAATTTAATGGGTTGACTGGGTTGACTTACTAAAATATATATATATAAATATACTGAAAATACAGTTTAAATCCAATTTAAGAAAATAAATATCATTACCTGCATTTACTATATTGACAGATTCAGAAAGTTAATATCATTAACTTTTAAAAAATATAATAATAAATAAATGTTATTACCTGGTTTAGAGAGTTTTGAAAAATTCAATAATCGGCTTGTATAAATAGCTTGTGGATGTGTCTGATATTTGAACAGTGTTGGTTTGACTTGATCATGTGATAAGAAATTTTTGTCTAAATCTTTAATATTTTTAACTTGCTTAAATAATTCAGTTTTTTCATTTTTCAGATCTGTAAAAAATCGATTCAATGTAATAGCCAATTCTTTAGAAGTTGGTCGGTTTTGAGGTTCTGCATCTAAGCATTTATTCATCAGATCCAAAAGTAATTGAGGAACCTCACATCTAATTTTAGGTCTGAGACCTTTACAAATATTGAGTGCAAGGCCGAAATCATGTGGAATATCATAATATGGAGGATATCCAGTAAAAACTTCTGTCATAATTATTCCGAAAGAATAAATATCTGATTTTTGAGTGTATTCCTTTCCATTTGTATACAATACCTCTGGAGCAATATAGGGAAGCACACCAAAAAGTGCTTTAGAGCTTGAGTCTTGTGATACTGGCCTACATAAGCCAAAATCTGTAATGTAAGAACTATACTTATTTTGATTAACTATATTTCCGGAATGAAAATCTTTATGTACTAATTTTGCTTCGTGAATTGTACTAAGCCCATTAGCTATGTAATATAAGTTAGTTACTTTAGAAACCCAATCTAATTCACTATATTTACTATCTAACAATTTTCTGAGACTTCCCTGCTTTGCGTACTCCATAACCATCATGTAGTTACCATCTTTTGGGTTCTTGGTTATTCCATAAATCGCAATTATTGCAGAATTGCCTCCATGTTTATGTTGATTTTTAACCTAAAATATTAATTAAAATAAATAAGATTACTACACCTTAATAATAATAAATTATAATGCTTACTTCTTCTAAAAATTCTTGTTTTATATCTTTAGAATTATCAAGTCCCTTTAAACAAACATCTATTTGATAATCAACCCCTGTGATATATCCGTCAATCCATACTGCCTTAAAAACGGTGCCAAAGCCTCCTTTAGCAAGATACTTTATATTTGTGAATTTGCTAAAGGGTATCCATTCAATAATGTCTTTAAAGCTCACTGCATTAAGTTGTGTTTGTTGAATTAATTGATCAATGTCGTGATTGCCACTTGTCCAATTACGAAATTCTTCTTTAAACCTTAATATTAAAAAATAATAAATATGATAAAAATTAAGAGCTACGACTATCAATACTTCTAATTTGCTTTGAAAAATTCCGTTGCTGTCCACGAGGTGATGAAT